GTCTTCGGCGCGGCCAGCGGGCTGGAGATAGCCCCGGCTGACGGGCTTGACATCAGCCCGGTCAGCGGGCTGGAGAAAGCCCCGGCTGGCGGGCATGACAACGGCGCGGCCGGCACGCTTCACAGCTGGGCGGTCTTCGTACCGCGGAGACGAACAGGGGAGAAAAAGGAAAACCAAAAAACTGTTAAAAACGAAAATAAAACACGGGTGAAGGAGCGCCGCTTACTGTTTTGGTCAGTCGTTCTGTCACGGTTCACACACACAAGGAAAACGGGAACGAAGGAGCGAGGAGACACGGAGTAAAGTGACTCAAAAGGGTTTATTAAACAAAGGCTGGGGATCACAGGACTCGACACATCAGGATGACGTTCAACGACTGACAAAGGACAAGAACTAGAACACACTTTAAATACACAGGAACTGATGAGGGGAAGACAAGGGACACCTGGAACTAATGACAATTAACATTGGAAACACCTGGGAACAATGAATTCAAAACACGAGACAGAGAAACTGGAATACGGAGCACATAGGGAGCAAAGACACACACAAGACCTGGCCCAGAGTCTGACACAAATATTGCCAGACAGCTCTGCTTAGCAGCTGCCTCAAGGGATGAGAAAATGTGTTCGCAATGACATCAGCTCCTTCCTACAGACAGCAGCAGTGTGGGCTGGGGGGATGGGAGTCGTGGGATTCATGGAAAGAAGGGAGTTGCTGATACTCTCACAAAACAGTTGACCATGACAAGTTGCCAGGCATCTCCTCAACTCTGGCTAATGATGATGTTTCCCAAACAGCAACTAGAATTAAACCAAACTTAATGTCAGAACTGCAGCAGAATTAAACTAAGACTGCTGCTAAACATAGTCTTGTTAAAGGAGATTGAAAATAAAATAAATTCTGGTCCACAGCTAGGTCAAAGCTGGTCCACATACTGGTGTCATTGATCTGGACACCAGTATGAAGTTTGCAGAACATTTCCACTAGAGCAGGGGTCTCCAACCTTTTTTACACCACGGACCAGTTACGTTTGGAAAATATTCTCGCGGACCGGCTGGATGGGGGGGGGTATAGTATCATAATAGCATTATATAGTGGTTCAACTAATTTTATGTGTGTAGGGCTGTAGGCCTATGTATATGCAACTCGGTATTTCCGCGCTTTCTGAAACACGTCTCTTGTGCGCGCTTTGATTGTGTGCGAGAACAGCACGTGAGTAACGAATTGAACTCTCTTTCGTTTCTTCTTCTTGTAAAATTGCTTGTATGTGTAAATTGGCAAATTAATCTGCGAATCACATGCGTGCCTAACGGTAGAGCCGTTCAATGCATTATATTGTGTTTTTTTTTTAGTCACAGATCGGACTATTTTTTCGGATAAGCAAGAAATTTTTTTTTTGAAAGCACAGAGAATGACAATGCCATGAAGGGTTTTTGACATAGGCTAATTTTATGTGTATGTATCAGATATGTATACGCAACTCGGTATTTCCGCGCTGTCTGAAACACGTCTCTATGCTTGTGCACACTTTGATTGTGTGCGAGAACAGCGCGAGTAACGAATCGAGCTCTCTTTCGTTTCTTCTTCTTGTGGTTTCAAATTGCTTGTACGTGTAAATTGACAGATTAATCTGCAAATCACCAAAATACCGTGTGACGAACGGTAGGGTCTCTGCGAATCACGTCCGCGCCGAACGGTAGGGTCTCATCCGTACGTATTACGGATCAACTGCAATCCGTTTAACTCCTAATATGTGACAGATCAGAGCAATCTTTCATTTACGTATTTAACATGAAATTGTCAAACTGCTACTCCATATCAATCACATACAAAGAAAATACAGAATAATTAGAACAATCATTAACATAAATAAATAACAGAGTTCTTGCGACCCGGTAGCAATTCTTCCATGGCCCGGTAGTGGGTCGCGACCCGGTGGTTGGGGACCTCTGCACTAGAGAGATATATAGGCTACAACTACATTTACAAACCCACTAAGCAAGCAGATCATGCCATAAGTGTGTCAATGGCAACACAGACAAGTAGATAGTCGACTGCAACTATACTCATAACTTGTTGCAATTTTGTTGTCACTCTTTCATAATCAAAATATACAAGGACAGAGCTGTATTTAGGATTCCATAGGACTGACAACTGTATTTTGACAATTTCTGCTTAGCACATGTTCACATATATTAAAGCTGCATTCAGTAGTTTGGTGCTAAAATGGTGCTTAAAATGCTGTATACAGTACATTAAGAAATAAATAGTGTTTTTATGAAGAGTCATTTGAATAATGAACACTCACATGACATGAAAACTGTACTCAATAGTTTTCTATAAAAGTTTTTAAATTAGCCTATATATGGTGCAGGACCTGCTGTGTTTCACTAAATGGAGTGAATCCCCGCCCTGGCGTGCCTAATGGCTGCCGCCACTATAGATATGTCAGTAGTGTAGTTTAGCGATGGGAAAAGCAATTTATCGTGTTGTACCAGCTTATTATTTACATGTTATTATCATGTTTTACCAGCAGAGACAACGGTCGGGGGAATCAGTACCTGTATGACCAAAGACGACGAAACACTCATAAACAAGGTCTTGAGTAGTGATGCCTAAATTGCATCTATTTTTGTTGAACATGTAGTGAAACTGATTATTATGTAGATTGCTCTCTAAAACTAGTATCAGTGTAATTTACATAAAACTCAGAGATGATCATACTGATCCACGCTGATAGATGGCAGTGCAGCGTATACCACCATTGTGCTATTAGTACTTATGAGGAACAGCGATGCTAACTTTAACTAAAGAACTACTGAATGCACCTTTAAGACACTGTGCTCAAATTAACTTTACTGATCTAAGATCACATTCAGAGCTGACTTGAATAATCCAGCATTATCATACAGATAGCATCATGTGGGCCTGTGTTTCCTCAGCACCACTGCTAGGGCTCTTTAGTACTGCTGATGAGTAATTACTAGGTGAATGGGTATGGAAATTACCAGCAGACAAGGACCTTATAGCTGTCTCGCTCTTGTACAAACCCATGGTCATTACCAGCAGGCAATTAAAGAAACTCTGAGCTCTAATTAAAGCAATGCCTTGGGGTTCCACTAAGAGCATCTCTAAATGAAAAGTGATATTGAAATGAAGACAACGTGCCCCTGAGAACAGTCTAGATCCATGCTAAATCTGTCCTCTGAATGTGTCTACAATAAACAGGCAAGTTGCCATCAGTACTATGCGTGAGATGGTACCAGATGGCAAAACAGTTTGTGATGTTCACTGCTACTTATCAGGTTTCATTCTGGGCATCTAATGAGCGAGACCTTTAAAAGTAAATCACTGACCTGAAAACATCTCAGAAACGATTAGCAGACAGTTAAAATAGGCACCAAAGATGTTTTCAGATATTTAAATCCATGTTTGACATGGATTTAAAAAGGCCAAAACGCTGTTTTTGCTGTAGAACTGGAAATCTTACGGACACATTGTTTAAAACAGCTGACAGCTGCCTGCTCTGGCTGAGCTGCCAAGGAAAAAGTTGTCAAAAGTAAAGTTAACAGAAAGACAAGAATATATTTTCACTGTTAATCACAGTGGTGCTCTGAAACACATCATGGTCACTCAAGACTGACATTAAGGCTATTTCTGCTGATCTCTGTCACTATAAAGTGTTAACTGACAGTGGTTTTCTAGGTCACTAGACAAACAGAAATATACTATGCAGTTACTGTAGACTGTAGTTATTATCCTCAGTGGGTTAGCCCATGAAAATCCCATTACATTTAGGCGACATCAATTATATATTGAAATTATTGGTTTGATTTAAAAATGCATTCATGTTTCAGTGTTTGATTACTTCATGCAGAATTTTCTGCGCTTTACTGAATCCCCTCAGGCCAGCATTGCAGCAGTGACACTAAGAGTTCTCATAAACACCTAAACTTTTATAATGAAAAAAAAAACTATGCCATGAAAGACACAACAGAAATACAATTCACAATTGTACTGAAATCTAACTTTTCAATTACAATTATGATTTTCAGCTGCTTGTTTATTGTGTACAAACAAGCAAATGATATTATCAGTAAAAGTTTACTATTTTAGGCAAATGAACATCTCATGTGCAACCTGAAAAAACACACTTGGTTCAGGTCACATGACAATTGTATCTGCGTAGTTCAACTCTACCAGGCGAGTTCAACTCGCTTTTTCAAAGCGAGGACTCTGCTTTGGCGTATGACACCGCACCATGACATTCCTGTGCTCTCACACTGAAGTGGGAGAGAGAGTAAATCAGCAATGACGTTGAGCCATGGAGGGACTCTACAGTTACCAGGCTTGATGTGTCCTATCAAGTCCTATAGCTATGGCAGATTAACACTGGGCATGTTCAGGTATATGTACCTATATATACACATTATAATGTTATGCAAAAATATGTTTCATAATGAAATTGTAGATAGATAATGCAGGACAATAAAACCAACAATGGTTTGCATAGGGAGAATAATGCAGCCAAATTTAGCAGCTGTGCAGGTTAACAAGGTCAGCACTTATTTTGGACTCGGTGGGGTTGATACCAAATGAAGCCCATTAATTTAATCTGTAAATCCATGCAAACGAGGGCACAAAGGCCAAAGGGTGGTCTGGTGTTGAGACTGCAGTAAACCTGTCTAATCTAAGTCTAGGTCTGTCTATTCTTGGGTTACAGAAGCCAACTGATAAAACAACCCTGTCTGCTTTGATGGCCAGTCAGGAAATGTCAAGAAAGAGTGGGAAAAAGCACACAGGTGCAAAAAACTGACTAAAAGCCCATTTCTGGCCAATAACCAATTGTGGGTGAAAATACAAGGTGGAAACCTAAAAAACTGAATGATGAAGAACACATACCTCCTTAAGACCAATCTTGGCTGTGTAAATGATGTTGGATCCATCTCTTTTGAAGAGTGGGTGCCCTTTGTCTTTGAGCACAAATGCAATATCAGCAGGAATGTTCTCAGGTGTCTCATCACCCTCTTTGGGGAAGGTGATCTTGGTCCCTTCCTTCCAGCCTCTCTTGATGACAATGTTAAGGATCTTGTCCTCTGTCCTCATTGTCCTTCCATCTGGGTTCAGTCTTCGGCGAGTGATTCGCATCCGCTTGGTACATCCATGGAAGATCTCCTCTAGAGACACTTTAAGCTCATGTACAACTGGAGGGTCCTGTACTTTCCTCCGGCCACCATGAAGAGGCTCATTACGATGTCTTCGACCTCCACCTTGATGAAAACCGTTGATACCATTGAAGCCAAAGTGGCTAAAGGAACTGAAAGGATCATCATCTCCATCCATGTCAATGTCCATGTCATGATCGCCACCGTGGTCATTAGTGCCATTGGTGGTTCCCCGTTGGCGTCCAGAGCCAAAGAATATATCGAAGGGGTTGGAGCCTCCAAAGAAAGAAGCAAAGGTGGCATGTGGATCCCCATGGAAGGTGTAGTGATATGTGGTCCCTTGTCCACTAGATGAGCCTGTGCCACCTGTTTTCAAACCTAGACGGAAATACACAGGAGGAACAATGCATCAGGGTTTTCTGTATTTACAAAGTTATTTTAAGTTCTGCTTAAATCCACAGGTTAGCATCTTCTGTGACAGTTTCAGGTTAGCAAACACTAGCTTCCGGTAATGATATCCAAGTCTTTAAAAAAGTATAACTTTATGTCATCTCATAAGTACACCAAGAATTGATGGAGCCATATTAAGGGCATCACCGACTTAGTGAGTCTGCCACAGCTGCGTGAGAAAAGTGGATTTAGGACTACAGTTGCCTTGAAAAGTCAATTCTGCTCGACACTGATAAAACCTAAGCTACTTTCTATGAAAATGTTAACTAAAATAGGATGACTTCTAACTATAATGGCCTACTGCATACAATATTTTAGGAATTCAAGACTGTATAAGTGTAGATTCCTCAATATACAATGACATTTTTTCTCAAAAGAAGCAAGTACATTGACACAGCCTAGTTGGACCTGTTAACCTATACCAATGGATGCCAACTCCAAGATGATTCTTTGACTCGTACCCTCTACACTACTAAGAGGACAGTCTACTTTATTGTATTACAACTAGTGTTGTCAAAAGACCCGGTATTTCGGTACCAAGTCGGTACTAAAAAAATGAAAACGTTACGGTACCAGGTTTTTTTAAGTACCGGTGGTACCGAGTAGCCTACCCAGTCAACCCGGTTCTTGATGCGCTATCAAGTTATATTTTAGCTGGTGTCAATGATCTTATGTTGCATTTGGTCAGACTCAGCCCATTGCTTTACTGAAGTATATTATATTTTCCTTTTACAGCTGCAGACTGAGGAAGATCCTGAAACACACCAGCAAACCCTAAAACAGACAACAGTTTACAGATGTTTTTCAGTGGCAGCAGAACTATGACTAAACTTTTGGGTGAAACTTGTTTACTTTTTTCATACTTTTATTACTTGTGGGAAAACGTGAAACAATTTTAAATAAGTATAAAGAATGGCATTGGTTTTGTACATTTAATTTTTGTTTAACTTTATTAATAAAAATGTTGTTCAATTAGTTTTTGTGTTTTACTTTGGTACCGAAATTGGTATCGAGAACCGTGGATTTTCACTGGTATTGGTACCGAATACTGAAATTTTGGTACCGTGACAACACTAATTACAACTACTTGAAACAGACAAAAAGTTTAACACCTCTATGACAGCTATTTCTATTTGTTTAGTGAAAACAGAAAAACACTGAAATGGTCTGACTGCAACTTCTGAATTATTATAACAGCCCTACAAATTGGCAACTGAGATGTTAATTCTAAACTTCTGCTGGATAATTATCAAGTGCTAGCCTACAGTATGACATAGCATAGAATAGCATTTGATTTAGTCTGCAACTGCTCACACATCACCATTTTGAGGTGTAAAGCTCAACAGAAGACCTGCCAAGTCTTTCTCTGTTTCTTTTCTCCACCCCCGCTCAGTTTGGTTACAAATTCAGATTGCTGGACAAAGAACAGAAATACGATTTTAAACAAGTGGCTACTTGATTTCTATTATTGTCCCTTAGCTGGCTTCTCTTGGTGGCCTGGTTCTGAAAAAAATATTTTGGCAAGAACATGCAGTTCAAATCCTGGACAAGTGATGAAACTGAGTGGAAGACCACAGCATGGTGTGTAAGTGCTCTTTAAGCTCTAGTGTCTGAACTGTGTTTTGAGGTTCACTGCAAAATCTTATTCCCAAAATTAAAAGTACAGAAAGAGCAGGTCAATTAGGATCAAACAATCTTTTATTTTGTGCTTTTCAGTTCTGTTAAAAAAAACATTAACACCCATGCGTTATGGTGGGTGATTGATGGCTTGTAACAAATGCACTCCTTCTAACGATCAGGACACAAGCTGACTCATCTTCCAACTTCACATCTTCAACTCTTCAGTCTGCCTACTTAATGCGGACACCTTATAAAACACGTTTCCACCTCATTCTTTGCAACTTCAATGAACTCCTCAGGCCAAAACAACTAATGAGGGGATGGTTATTAAAGTGGGTCATTTGGGAATAGCAGATTCATAGGCCTATACCATAATACAAAATTAAAAACATAATACATCAGTGTGAATCTGTGAATAGAGCCAAATTAGCTTGCTACTGCCACAGCCTTTTGACTGTACCCAATGCCTCTTTTTTCAAGCAAAATGGAACAGCAGTGCACAGAAAGAACGGATGCAAAGACTCTAAAAACATAAAGGGATTCCTTGCGAAATTCATGAGTAACATTAGTAAAGGCGGAATTGGCAGGTGTACTCAGTGTAAAGATGCTTAGTTTGGCATCTAGTCTGGAGTTGGCATAAGTGGGAACATTTGAAATCCTTCTTTGTTTCAACCGACTTTTTTCTTATTTTGGAAAAGTGCCATGTTTATAGTCCTTGCATTTGTCAGAGAACTTTTCTGCATCATCCTGCAGTGCGAGGGAGTTATTTTGATTGTCAGGAAAAAGAAGGGGTGGTAAAGCTGCTTTGACAGTGTATAAAGAACAGTGGTCTAGCCACGTGAGACATGACAAAGATCCTTTTAAGGGTTGTCCTATCTGGTATAAACAGAACTGTGCCTGGGTCCATTAAGACTTGTTGTTATTAGCATGTATTGTTTTCTTAGAAAAGATATATTGGAGTATTATGCACTATTTTAGACTGTAAATATGAATACAACACCAATTACCTTACACTGCTGGATAGACACTTAATAGGGCTGTTCACACTTGTAAAAAAAATTATGCCCGGGCCATTTTAGCCATTTGCCATTCTGACTCCCAGGTTATTGTGTTTCATATTTCACACTACTCACACTTAACCTGGGGTTGAAAATGAATCCTGGGTATTCATAATCCGACATTTCACACTATATATTTCTAAAACACGGTCTACTATATATTGCTAAACAGCTTCAAATTACATGTGTGAAATGTTCATCTACCCAGGTTTAAAAGCAGAGTTTACAACAAAAATAACCCAGGATTAAGCACAGTGTGAAAAGCTTTAAAGTTTAGTGTGTCCAAATCCATAAATGAACAGAGAACTGGCTATATACTGATTATCAGATTATTGTTTCCTAGAAAACTAATTATGGCCCAAGAATGAATCATACAATCTGATAAGGCTCTGAGATGTTTGGCAATGGTTCTTCTGTACATGGACCCAACCATACTTACCATCCTCGCCGTATTGGTCATAGATGACTCTCTTCTTTGGGTCACTCAGAACCTCATAAGCCTCTGCTATCTCTTTAAACTTCTCTTCAGCATTGGGATCCTTGTTTTTGTCTGGATGGAACTTTAGGGCCATCCTTCTGTAGGCCTTTTTGATTTCATCTTCATTAGAGCCTGAAGTTATGCCAAGGATCTTATAGTAATCCTTCCCCATGGCTTTGATTTACAGATAGAGTCCTTCCAGGACGACCAAACTTTCTACAAAACAACGATGAAAACAAGCAAGGTAAATAATAAAGATAAAAATGCATTCAGGTTATATTGAATTTATTTATTTATTTTGTCATGTCAACATAAAAAATCATCCGGAAGCGATTGTTTGTGTGTATGTGGTTTTCGTTTTTATTGTTTGTGTTTCTCCTGCTCCTTGAAAGCGGGTGAAGCTTGACGTTTCGCTTGTCTCCTCTTCTTTTGGTACTATTTTTATCGACGGTCGGGGCAGAAATATGCAAATTAATTGGCCAATTTGTGTTTTAATCGTAAATTACTTGATGATAATTCCTTATTTATTTATCTGTTAAGTAAACTTCTGCTCTTGTAATATTACTTGTGCCTAGAGCTTCTGCTGCAATAAGTGCTCACGATATGCTTATGAGAGATGCAGTAGACAAAAAATAAAACACCACAATATTCTACAATTATCTCATAGTGGCCAAGAAAGATTTCAGTGTATCACAGCATCGATAACAACATGTATTTGAAATGAAATAGTATGGATAGCGCTGAGAACAGACCCTGATCATCTGAGCGCGTCGTTTGGGCGGCACTGCAGACACAGCTCGAGAAACACTAACAAAGACTTGATGTTCAGCATACTATACAGAGCAGTTTCCACTTACAAACAAACATGAATTTAAAAGAATGTAATTTTGCATACAGGCTTATATGTACCTCTTTTCCGTTTGACTAAAAACGGCTCTGTTTAAAATACACGCAACACCATACACTGTATTTGACAAGAACACCACGAGGTTCACTAAAGCTCACCAGTTATGTCTGCAGAACAATGATGTCGGTTTGCCGCATCCGACAGGAAATCCTCATCGCTAAATCAAACCCTCTAAGGTCTCCCGGTATTCCTCTCCGGTATTTAATGATGTCATGGTGACCACCAATGAAAAAATAACGGACGACTGGTGACTGAGTGATGTCTGACTGACGTCAGTTAGACAAGCCTGACCTCTTTATGTGTTCTTCGCATAAAAACAGATTTTTGGATTATTCGCGTCTGCACCAGCATGCCGCTATAAAGGTATAGGCTCTCTGCAGAATGTGCACACCAGGGTGCGATTAAACATCGTCCTTAAATTAGACGCAAGCAGAGATGAAATCAAGACCGGCTGTGTCTCAAAATCTTCTGAGCTGTCTAAGAAGCAGGCAGCGAGGATTTGTGAAACGCACTTTTTTAAAAGTAAAGATTACCATAAAAAATCAAAAGCCTGATGCTGATTACGGTCCATGATCTGCTATTAGGATATATTAAGTTATCGTATCAATATAAATCATTACTATTAATTGTAAATCGACACCGTTTTTTTAATAATAATTTCTCGGTGGGCTACTCAAGTTGTCAAATTCCGTTGAGACTAACGCTTTTAAAAACAGACTATAGCCTCTAAAATCTCACAGTGAAATCTTACGGTAAAGGATAAAGATGCCAATCGGATGCACACGTGTGTTCCAGTTGTATTTTTGAAGGTATACAAAATTGAAAACAGAGCTTACCGCATCAAAGTATCCTTTAGCTGTCTGCCGGTTAGAGCTGCATGACATTCTACTCCATTCCGTTAACCACGCCCCTAATTTACATATGACCCACCCCGTACACTCCACAAATAAACCACTCCAGTCCAAAACGCCGGACCACCTCCAAAATCATAACTGACTTGGGGTGCATTTTAGGTATCTGACAAAATGCATGTGCTTACAATAAAAAAATATTAGAGTAAGTAGTCTATTTTTGTGTGTATACAAACATACACGTATACAAATATATTTTATATACAGATATTACACAAATATATTTAATATTATTGTGTGTGTGTTAGTGAGTGTGCTTTTAACCTGGAGAAACACTGTGTATGTGACAAATGAAAACTTTGATTTTGAGAAAGGTAGAGAGTGTATAAAGTCACATAGCCTAATGGAGCATCAGTGATTTCTATTGTTTATGCCCTTCTTCATTTCCCAGGATGTGCTCTTCACTCGTACAGAACCCAGGCAGTCATGTTTGAAGGACTAAGTGGGAACGATACAGCTGTCTGGCCCTGGATCAGGTTTTACATTAACACGGCAGGGGTCAAACTCTCCACTGATGTCTGGAATCTTACTCCTCTAAGGTAACTCCACAGTCTAAAGGAATTTCTACATTCAGCCTGCTTTGTGTACAGACTCTATTGAGGAAGGCTATTATATACGTCAACATCTAAGACACCACTGGATTTTACACTGTACCTTTTGAACGGTTTAAATCTATTAGCTGCTTATTTGACAGTTTCTGGATGTTTTAAAAACTAGATATTTAAGTCAGTCCATGTAATGCAATGCTCTAAGAATTGGGCATAGATTTGTACTTTATGTGATGTAACCACCTTATGAAGTGGATAGAGAATTTATATTATTTAGTTATTTAAAAAAAATGGCAGGTGGGTAAATGATGACAGAATTTTCATATTTTTTGGATGAACTATTATTTGAATATTTTATTATTAGACATATTTCTAAGGAGGGAGATTTGAATCATAATTTGTGATTTTTGGGTGGTTCTCATTATCTATAAAAATAATAAATGTTAATTAAAGTTTAAATATAATAATAAGTCAGTCTTTTTAATATCTGAACAGCAAAAACAATATATGTAAAACATACTGTATGTAAAATATGTTTGAATGAATCGATTATGTAAACAGACATATAAAATGATATATGGTTATATTTACTAATAACTATATTAACAGTATAGGCTACTTTTCCCTCAACATTATAATTTTTTTTGGATAACAAACCTGGTCTATTAAGATGCAGATGAGTCATACTAAATCCAGCATCATGCTGTATCCCATTTATTAGTTTATTCGAGGCAAATGTTATTACAAAATCCTCATGTCTTTCTTGTTAGCTCACATCTTTAAATAGACAGAAATGAAGAGCAGGCTGAAAGAGGTGGACTGATGGGAATAAGTGCACCTGAATCATCACAGCACTTGAGTGTGGAGGAGAAATGTAAATGATTGAGTGACTCAGAACCTCCCACAGGTGACAACTTAAGTGCAGTGACTTAACAGCCATTTAACCCCTTATGTGCAGTATGAGAAGATGGCTCTGAGTTAAATACTTGTTTTTATTATTATTATTATTATTATTATTTGATTGCAAGTTGTAATGGCAGTTAAGGATACAACACAGGTGAAGTTCACTCGTCACGAGAAAATTTTCTGTCATGGAAGACCCGGTCAGTCCAGGACTCCCCTAAAGGCGCCACATCATCCAGAAATACCCCCAAACCACAGCTAGATAAGCATCTTCCTGGTAACCGGCCCTACCCTGGTGACTGTACCTCCACTGTCCATCCACCTCTTCAGCTCTCCACATGACTAAACGACTAAATGACCTAATAAACAAATAAATAAATAAAATCCCACACACGTCTAACTGAATGATTTCTTGCGCTGCAGGGGTGGCATATACAAGTGGAGGCTTTCTTTTGTAAAAACTATTTCTCTCTGGATACAATAGGATACAATGTATGTCATTCTGTGGTCACGCATAGTGGGAACACCGTCTGTACAAATGGGGAGCAGAGAGAGAGAGCGAGACAGCACACAGTGTTTAAACACCGGGTAACAGAACAAATTTCACACACAAAATGTACTTCCACACCAGACAGCATAATGGTAGCCATGACAACTGGACCCAGAGCTAGACAGTGCGTCTATATCTCCACGCCTCTGTCAGTGTCTTCTGATACCTCTGACATCTGTCAATACAGAACAATATGAAACAAAAGTCTGTTTCATTAGGGAGATTAGAGATGACAGTTTAGTGTAATTGATGATGTTCTCTGCTGTAGGTTAACTACATTTCATCAACTCTTAAAGGGACAGTCCAACCAAAAATGAAACATCTGTCAGCTTTTCTCATCATCATGTTGTTCCAAATCCATATGGCTTTCTTTCTACATTGGAACACAAAATGAGTTATTTAGTAGAATGTCCAAGCTGCTTTTTTCCATAAAGGTGAATAGTGTCCACTAGGGGTATAACGGTTCAAATTACTCGCGGTTCAGTTTATGTCAGGGTTTCAACACCCTCTTTCAACATCATGGCATAAGGCACTCGCATTGAGCAAAGAGTGACTGGTTTGTCCATTTTTTTTTTGTTCAACGCCGTTGTTGTAATGTATTGGGAAGCGGGAAGAGACTCTTGTCCCTGTTATTATCAAGCCAATGAGAAATAAACACAAATACAAAATCCTGCTTGTTTTTAAGCCGGCAGATGTGACTGAAATCTGTTCACCTCAGATGTTCAGAAACGAGCCGATGACACAACTGGTGCTATCATTGATGCTGGTATTTTCCAGCTGTAAATATAAGTGTGCAACAGAATATCTGTTTCAAAATACATTTATAGTAGAACATTCTGTTTCTATGAGGTTTCTGCTCATATAACAAATTGTGATGGAGACCCCCTTATTTGATGGCTCAGGGATTTATGAAATCAAACGGTTATAGCATGTATATGTTATTAAGTGTCACTTCTTCATGATATACAGTACTCATCAGGTCATTTGACTGTATACTTAACACCAGGTTATATAATATAGCCTACTTAACACCAGGTTATATAGTAACTAATATACTCAAGAATGTAGACAAGAAAGTATATATACAGATGCATCTCAAAAAATTAGAATATCGTGAAAAAGTTAATTTTTTTGTAACTTATTTCAAAAAATGAAACTTTCATATTTTCTAGATTCATTACATGTAAAGTAAAATATTTCAAAAGTTTTTTTTGGTTTAATCTTGATGATTAGAGCTTACAGCTCACGAAAGTCAAAAATCCAGTATCTCAAAATATTAGAATATTTCCTAAGATCAATCAAAAAAAGGATCTGCAAAACAGAAAAGTTCAAGTATGTTCATTTAAGCACTCAATACTTGGTCAGGGCTCCTTAAGCACAGTAATATCATGGTCAGCAAACCACTTGGAAGTGGTTTTGGCACTGTGGGCAGGTGCTAAAATCCTGCTGGAAAAGGAAATCAGCATCTGCATAAAGCTTGTCAGCAGATGGAAGCATAAAGTGCTCCAAAATCTCCTGGTAGATGGCTGCATTGACTTTGGACTTGATAAAACACAAAGGACCAACACCAGCAGACGTCACGGCACCCCAAATCATCACTGACTTCAGAAACTTCACACTGGACTTCAAGCAGCTTGGATTCTGTGCCTCTTCAGCCTTCCTCCAGACTCCAGACCTTGATTTCCGAATGAAATGCAAAATTTACTATTATCTGAATTGAGGACTTTGGACCACTGTGCAACAGTCCAGTTATTTTTCTCCTTAGCCCAGGTAAGATGCTTATGATGTTGTTTCTGTTTCAGAAGTGGCTTGGTAGCCCTTTTCCTGAAGACGTCTGAGCGTGGTGACTCTTGATGCACTGACTCCAGCTTCAGTCCACTCCTTGTGAAGTTCTCCCATGTGTTTGAATCAGCTTTGCTTGACAGTATTCTCAAGCTTGCGGTCATCTCTGTTGCTTGTGCACCTTTTCCTACCCATTTTTTTCCTTCCAGTCAACTTTGCATTTAATATGCTTTGATACAGCACTCTGTGAACAGCCACCGCTTTCAGAAAACAAAAAAACTTTTGAAATGTTTTACTTTACATGTAATGAATCTAGAATATATGAAAGTTTCCCTTTTTGAAATAAGTTACAAAAAAGAGAACTTTTTCATGATATTCAAATTTTTTGAGATGCACCTGTATACATATATATATATACAGTGGGTACGGAAAGTATTCAGACCCCCTTAAATTTTTCACTCTTTGTTA